AAACCCCTGTGTGATTCATCACAATTATATTTTATTTATATTTTACAATCGGTCTTCCTTTTTCTGCTGTAAATTATGCTTTAAGTTTATATGGTACGTTTTATGTTATTTACTTTTACTGTGATATTGTGTATGATGTTGTTTTGTGTCTATGTGCCATGTGGTAACACTTTACATTACTTTTTTTTGTATATGTTTATGGCTTTTTTCTTTAATTCTACGTGTCCTATTTTTTCTGTTTTATTATGAATGGTTATAAATAACTTTTAAAAGCACAAAACAGATTTTCATTGTATAGTGTGTTAACTGTTAAGCCAGTAAAAGTTCATTTACTTGGTCTACAGTTAAAGGCAACATGAAATGATTTGAACTACACCATGTCCACTGAGGAAAAACTAGAAAACTAGGTAAAAACATCAGCAGTGTCTCATATCACTCATAATAAAGGTCAGCGGTGAGGAGCTCCTTCATATTAACTTGCGGAGAGTTGTGTAGCGTTTACAGCTCCTGGAGACTATCGGTGACTAAGCCTCATATTAAACACATGAGAAAACAGCACTGAAATGATTCAACAGCCTCATGAAAGCACAGTATACATGGGTAACTTTCAAAGCCTATTATTTTTGGAGAACAGAGGACGTAGCTCTTTCTTTCTGCCTACATCTCTCTTTTTCCCTCCCAATTTGCATGATTTAAATCTTAAGCACTGTGTGGATTTCTACACCAGCGATCGATGGGCTCAGACCTCCGAGTAGCTGCTGGAGTCATGAAAAAGTATGCAAAAGGACGTCTTTAGTCCCTCACAGTGATTTATCTTGGTGGCCACTGGAGTCTAATTTACCGAACTGTCAACCGCACATCGGCTCTCAAATGATTGAAGCCATTTTTCAAGGTCTTGAATCTGCGACTTCGACTGTTGCAGCTTGTTTGGGGAACAAAGGGAAGCGTGTCAACGGTCCGACACAACAGAGGCAACACCTGCAGGGCACAAAGAGCTGTACTCCAACACAAACACAGCACCCTAGGGAGGAGAGGAGGGAAATAGCTTCCAACGGACAGAAAGATAAAGGCAGAGAAGAAGATCTCTCGGTAGAAAAAGACTGAAAGGAAACATCCGTGCAGTCTCTAGAAAAAAATATATGCAGCGTTGTTTATTGATCCCCTTATAAAAGCTTATACAAAATTTCTCTCTCTCAGCTATTCCATCAGATCTGAGGCTTTTATTTGCCTCTTTCTCTTTTTTTAATGGTGTTTACTAAGGCAAGCATCACTATTAAAGTTGCACATATTTATGGTTAGGGAAATGAACAAACCCCTAATCCTATGGGTTAAACTTTGTAATGCAAGTTCCTGTTTGTGTTAGAAATGTGAATAATACCTCAAACCAATGCAGCTTATATAGGTGTGCTGATACTTTAATAAGCAATTGGGCTTTTTGCCTGATGGACGAGAAAACATCGAACATACTAAAGGAGGGGCCCAAGCCATATCAAAGAATAAGAATCATGGGACTCTTTTGACTTGGGCCAGTAAGTATGCTAACTGTCTAGCAACACTCTGGCAACTGAACGAAACCCCCACAGCATCCAACCAGGGGCCAGTTGCACAATGTTAAGACTGTGTCTTAAGAGCTACTTTGACTAACTAGCAGTTAACCAAGGGGTAATCAGTCTTACTTTTCAGATTCGAATTAGACCAATATACCATTTTACGTATAACTGAATTCAAAAAGTTATGACCAGTCTTTAAGAAAAAATTGGATGACAAACTTATAAGACTAGCCTAAGTAGTTTAAGCAACTGGCCACAAAACACCCACAAAACACCATAGCAACACTTTAGAAACCATCCAGAACACTCTAGAAAATAAATAACAATGCTCTAGAAATGCCATAGCAATGCCTTATAGCAACCACTTAGAACATCCTAGAAATTCCATATCAGTGCCCTAGCAATAAACCAGACCATACTAGATATCCCACGGAAACACCCTAGCAACCCCCAGAGCAACCTAGTACACCTAGTAACCTAATACACGGGGCACCTTTTTTGAGCAATGTTGCTTGAGCACTTTCCCATTGAGAACGGGTAACACATTTCTGTCTGTATAGATCAGTCGTGGGCCCTGTGTCTCACCTGGTTGCCCGTTGGCAGCAACATTGCTCAAAAAGTTGCCCTGTGAATCATCAGCCTTAGAAATGCCCTGGCAAAGGCCTGTCAACCAGCCAGGCAGACCATACTAGATACTAGATTCCATAGAAGCACCCTAGCAACAACCTAGACCACCTAAGAAAACCCATAGCAATGCACAGCAAAACCGTAACAACCACTCAGCACAACCTAGAAACCTCACAGCAGCAATTGCCAACTACTTACATCACTATGAGTGTGACTTTTGAATTTTCTACAAATCTACACCACAATATTACAAAAGAAATTAAATAAATGACCAAAGAAGAGATCCTTTTTTTAAGCATAAAAATGACGTAAAAATAAAAAGTCTTTATTCTTTAAATTCATAGAATCCTCAGGCTTTGAAATGTCTGCTCACTGGTCTTTTTTAACTCACAATACTTTGTATTACCATACTAGTCTAAAATAAAATAAATTTTTGATAGACCTCCATGATTTGGTTTTTATACAGCATCTGCCATGAATTTTCAATAAAAAAACATTTTTCTTTCTCTACACAGCGGAGAACACATTGAACAACTCTTTCAGCCTTGTCTTTTTGGTTTCGGTTACATCAAAATGTAATCAAATCCAGGTACTCAACACTTACATAACAGTAAAAAAAGTTTAATTCTGAATGAAATCTCAGTAAAGGGCAATTATTTATTATTTACTATTAGTTATAGGCCTACCTGTTTTACCTTATACATAGTCAAGTTCACTGTGCTTTAGCGACATTATTCTCTTGTCAATATTAATGTTCATTTGAATCTTTAAATTCTGCTAACACCCAAATACATGCTGTAAAGCCCTTCTCACATCCAGTGCATGGCAATGACACAAATAAACACACATACTATCTATCAGCCCACAACACAAAGGAACACACACACTAACAGTTAACGTGCAGGGAACACGCACGCTAAAGGACAAGCCTAATTAGAGAAAATGTCACAGAGCCGTTATATTACCAGTGAACTCGCACACTAAACACAGAAACAGGACACTGTGCTAGTTTGAAAGATGGATACCAGCCCTGAGAACAACAGCTCTGTTTTAGCTACATTTTGATGATCAAATCTTCAATGCAGGCTGCAGGAAAACGCTGAAGCGCGGTGCGTTCCACGTCCTCGTGATAAATCAGAAGAAAGGGGACAGATACAGCCCCCTCTGCTCACGTACGGCTCCCAGAAAAACATCATGACCTTGCAATTACAGCCAACTGGGGAGGATCCATCTAACATCTCTGAGCGTGAACACGTGTGCGAATACACGCTCATGTCACGGCACGACTGCTCAGCTCACCGGATCACAGTCACGCTCTGGGTTTAAATACACTCGATCAATAATGGATGGGCTCCTACACTCGCACACCTTCATTCTTTTGTGTTTCTCAGTGGGATTCCTACATATCTGCCACTCTGAAGGCAAGAACCACTCGGAGATTGATCAATATCTCTTCTAAATTGCTGAGATTTAGACCAACAGGACCAGCATGCATCTCTGTTTTGTTTTGTTTTTCTTACTAAATCTTGAGAGAGATCCAAACTACATAGGTTTTATGAAAAATTGAAGATGGTTCCTTTTCAGATTGTCTCTCAAGACCAAAATGTGATGTCAGTCTGAAAAGTGATTTCGTTTTCTTTCATTCTAAAACAGAACTAAATACCAATGGATCTAATTTGCAGTAGTTCTGAAATCTCTTCACTTTATTGGCACATGACTTTTCTTCAAATAGGGCCTGAAATTTCGAACCTTTTCCCCCGGTAATTCAATAAATAGCCTACATTTAAACCCTGAACAAAAAACATATATATAATAGCATATAAAGTAGGTAAAAGTATCTGAAATCTAAACAATAGATCAAATTAAAAAATCTAATGGAAAATGAAAATTTAGACAATGTAATTGAAAGGGTTCAACTGATGTTACTTCATGCCTGTTAAGTTTTGGGCCAGTTTTTCAATGTATTTTTTAAATGTATCTTTTATGTTCACCAATGCTGTATTTATTAGACCAAAATACAGCAAAAACAGTAATACTACTACAATTTACAATAATTTTTCTATTTTAATATATTATAAAAAAAATTCCAGTGATGCAAAGCTGTTTTTTTTAGCATCATTACTCCAGTCTTCAGTGTCACCTGACCCTTCAGAAATCATTCTAATATGCCGATTTGGTGCTCAAGAAATATATCTTATTATTCTTATAATATGTTGACAATTTTGTACTGCTTAATATTTCTGGAAATCATGACATGTTCATTTCAGGACTATTTGATAAATAGAAAAACATGAACATCACTGAATTAGAAATCTTTTGAAACATTATAAATGCATTTACTGTCACTTTTGATTTATTTAATGCATACTTGCTGAATGAAAGTATTAAAAAAAAAAAAATCTTTGACCCCGATTTTTTTAATGGTAGTGTACATTTTACATTCAAGCAAAACTTTGGGGCAACTAAATATTGCACGTCTTTGGTATCTAAAATGACTTGATTTTATTAAAATACATTAAATATCAATTAAACAAAGTTAAAAATCTAAAATTATACTAGGATTCTAACTGTCGGATCCATTTGAGATGGTCAAGATTTCCGTATTGATGGAATGTGCCACGTGCATTGTATGCATACATCCAATGTTTCATTCATCTCATTACTTGGCACATTTTAGGATTTTTTACTCCTGTAACTGATTTGAAAACTGATTATCACTCATTCCGTCATAATTAAGAAAAAGTGAGAAGATAAACCCTACATACGAACACACACTCACCACGATCTGCCATCTACAAACCCACATTAATTAGTATTTCCAAGCAAAGTAAAACAGGTTGCATTTATTAAACTTGCACTTAAAAGCAGAGAGAGGGCAAAAATAAAACGTGCTATTGATCAGCCTGAACAAGAGCATCCAGTCATCACAGCACTTCTGAACGTCCGTTTCAGGCTTTATTATTGAAGTGTACACAAATCAGTAGAAACCAAAAGCACTGTCAGAGGGTCACCAGAGGATCGGGGCAACTCAAGAGTGTGTATGGGCGCATGTTCGTTACGTTCTTCTTTTAAATAGTTCGCTTAAAGAATGACCAGTATATTCTCACTTACAAACTGCCCTTGCACTAAGAGTCCAAAATAAAAGAAAAAATTAACAAAAAAAGAGAGAAATTAACATTTGGTAAACATTCTCCACTAAAGGCAGTTCCCTTATATATACTGTGATTTCATCTTTCATTTCGTTTTACATAAACAAGTTTAATAACATATCAATCAGTGGTTATTTAACAATTTGGGAAAATAAAGAAAAAAAAAGCACAAAAAAAATGTTATACTCTTTTACAAGTAAATAAAAAGATTTGTTTTCTTCAGGGCACAGCATAGAGTTCAGCGGTTCGTCTTGTGTGTCGGTGGGTGTAAGCGGGTTTTGACTGTCCTCTCTTTTTATGCTATTACATAATTAGATTCTTACATACAAATATTGACAAAAAGATGGCTTAATCACCAAAGCCATCCAGTCTTTTTTCAATATCAATGGATAGTCAAAGGCGGTGGGCGGGGCTTCGGGGGAGAGGGGATCATAGCTGGCCGTCGCTACAGTGGGCGTCTGGGCTGTCCGCCTGCTTCTCCGCATCCTGACTGGGCAGCTCTTTCACCATGAGCGAGGTGCTTTTCTCGGAAAACTCCTCCCCGTCCGGCTCCAGGCCTTCAGGACAGGGAAGCTTCAGCAACTCTTCTCTGAGCTGAGCCGTGTGCCTCTGCAAAAACACACATGGAATCGCTTTCAAAAACACAACGAACGGCACAATTTCCAGTTGTATGACAGTGAACACACGGTGTTGTACCTTTAGTGCAGCTGCGTGATGAGACATGGTTCGGCCGACTCTCTTATCGCTGCTGTACTGCTGAATATCACAGATCCAGCCCTCGCACTGGGACATGATCTCCGCTCGCTTCAGATAGAAGTGCCGATGGATCACCTGCACACACACACACAGTTAGTGCACAAAACACACGCTCTTCAGTGTTCTTGGAAATGCAATTGTGTATCAGTTTCTGCAGAGCCCATAAATCAACTGCAAACCTCATATCCTATTTTAGTAGCACTAGAAAACAATCTGCTGATCTTCGGATTGAGACTCCAGTGACCTATTTGATTCATAAAGACCAGATGACCGATCGCACCGAACAGATAACCAGCAAGTCATTGCCTGTCCGTGCATGTTAATATGAATAAACTAAGTGACCTTTTCGGTAACAAAGACCATAGGCAGGAAAGAGAAGAACTCAAAGCTCACACAAACACACACTTCCTAGTAGTACTCCGACTCTGTCCGAAGGCGAGAGCTGAATCACTTGTTCATTCTGGATTTGGATCAGTCTCGGAGATATTCTTTCTCTCCAGCTCAATGTGTTTTCCAAACATGTCATACAGTGTACTAAACGGCAGATGTGAGGAGTTGACAATAGCTGTCATACCACCCAGAAGAGTTTTTCCAGATTCTTCTGTGTGCTTAATACAGTAAAAAAAAAAAAATGTTTGAAATGGGACAAAAACTGCAAAATACAACCTGACATGTTTTTTTAAATGGTAGGCTAGTTTGACTATATGGCCATAGGCCACAGATTTGGGAAAGCTTTACTTCTGAACTGCTTTAAGTCATTACATGGCTTTCCATTGAATCAACTGCATTATGATGGTGGTTATTAGTACGTTTTAAAGTATTTTACAGAATACTAAATTTATGATGCCACTTTAGTGCCATTTCAAGAACAAAGTCATAATATTACAACATTAAAGCAAGATTTTGTCAAATTTGCAAGTCAAAATTGCAAGAATAAAGTCATAGGATTGAGATTTTAAAACTTTTGAGGATAAAGTCGCACTATTACAAGAATCCATGTTTCCGTGAATCTGAGAATTCATGTTGTGCACAAAAGGATGTTTTGATAAAGGAATGTTTTAATAAAAAATGTTTAATAAGAGAACATAGGTCATGTTTTGAGAATGAAGTTCTAATGCTACAATAATAAATTTGCAATGTTCGCTGAACAAAGTCAATGTTACGGGAATAAATTCATAATGTAATATTTTTTTACAATAACTGATGTTCTGTTTGTTTATTCTTAAAACATTAGGACATTGAAATTTTGTAAATAATTTGAAAATTAACTAAATTTGTAAAAACAAAACAAAAAAACGAACTACTATACAGGTACAAAATGTCATTTTCTTAACAACAGCTGCCATTTGGGGAAAACAACAACAACAACAGATTAAGCACCAACTAAATAAATGCAGAATCCTCTTGAAGCTCTAGTGGGAAAACACTCAGCTTCTGGAAAATCCACCTGTTGTGTCTTCACTAACACACAAAATCTCTCTCAGGATTAAGATGCACTTTAGCCTGCTTGTAAAAGCGAGACGCTGCACGGCTCAAACTTCTGCAGAGAAAAGACAGAGCGCAGACGAGAGGGATTCAGGAATGAGTGCGTGTGATCGATGGTCTTGCCAGTGTTGCCATGGAAACCCCGGCGGCCACTACACATCACTCGCTGGCTCAGAGCTCAACCTCACCGGCCTTATATCTCTCTCTTTTGCTGTCTCGCTTCATCCGTCCTTCATAAATCTATCTTTCTCACAAACATACAAAGGTCACCAGCCACCAGACATGTGACTGTTACAGCCTCTCCCATTACGCCACATTTGCTTCATATTCATTCAGTTCCCAAAGGAACATCTGTAATGATATTGGAACGCCAGAGAGAGGTAGAGAGAAATGAAAAAGGGTTAGGAACAGAAATGCCATTTAAAAGAAAATGAACATGAGCACAGCTACCAAGTAAGGTTGTTGTGCAGAAGCAAGTGTGTGTGTTTCCTCTCTCTTCTGACGTCAACAGCCCACCATTTATTACCCTGCATGACTGACTGTGTGTGTGTGTGTGTGTGTGTGTGTGAGAGAGAGACAGCTACTTTTCTTGCGGTTTATTAAATCGCATGTGTGAACCTGTGTGGATGTACTACACTCAAAAATATAAAAATATAAATCTAATAGTGGATGAAGCAAGAGAAATGTTGATTTTAAATACTTAAATATCAGTTGACAAAAAAAATCCAAATCAAAATAACAATTATATATATATATTCACACAGTATGTACATGTGTACCGAACAAATACAGCATTGATTTAACCACTGCATGAGTGGAACTTCATTGGAAACTTCCAGTTATATTGTTACCTTTGATAAGAAACAAATTCTCATCTTTAAAATTGTCCATTTTTTGTTTCAGTAAATTCAAACCATAAATGCCATTTTGGCGCTCTTTGATGAGGCACGACAGATCGCCGTATAAACGCCTCAGTTCAAACGGCAGCACGGAGCGCGAGTGAGCGTGATCATCCCTTCCTCTTTACTACTAGTTTTAACACAAAATAAACATGAATGAACACCTCATGCCTCATGTAATCGCTCAATCAGTGTTTTAACCGCGGAAAGACCTCAATAAAACAGCTCGTAAACAAAATGTCACGTAGCATTTCATTTACCTCAGGCAAGTTATCAGTGTCCACAGAATGTTAGTTTGCCAGAGAAATGAAGTGAATATATATATATTAGGGCTGGTAAGCGATTAAAAATTTTAATCTAATTAAGCGCAAATAAATCGCACATCAAATTTGGCAGCAAAATTACTCCCAAAAGATAATTTAAAGTCACTGATGTGTAAAGAATCAAACAGACATTACAAAAAGTAGCTTCAGCAAGAAATATTTGTTTGATTCAACATAAATTTGATTTCATATACATTAACAAAATTTTTGGGTGGGTGAACTATACCTTTACTATACCATTTTTTATTATTATTATTACTATCAAGTCAAGTCACCTTTATTTATATAGCGCTTTTAACAATACATATTGTGTCAAAGCAGCTTTATAGTATTAAATAGGAAAATATTGATATGGAAATAGGAAATTATTTCTTTAATGAAATGATACTCTAAATAAGAAACTAAAACTGCCAGTAGGTGGTGGTAAATGTCTTAATGATTAAGTCATAGAGTCATTTCATTTATTTGATTCGTTCACATGGCTGATTCATTCAAGAGTGAAGTAAATGGTTCTCTTTATGAATGGTCCATTGAATCATTAGGCTTGTTCGACTTGAAGCGGATCATCACCATCAGACCGATCTTTGTGTCATCAAAGTACCACGAGAGCGATTAGAGAGCAGACGACTTTTGCATGCTTTTGAATCGCTCTCGTGGTACTTTGATGTCATACACCGATCGATCTGTTCAGCTACGAGCCTAGTGGTTCACCCGATTTGTTCAAAATGTGGATTAAGAAATGAAATGCCGCTGTGTGTTGCTCGGAGATGAACAGTTCTGCTTTGTCTTTATATTTTCGTTGGAAAAATTGAGCAAAACAGACAACATTGTGTCTAAAATAACACAATATTAACTTCTTAGTTATTGAACTGTTGTATAAGATCAGTATCACAGTTGCACTCTTGTGATATTGCACTTATTGCTCGTGTGATATTGCTTAACTATATGATGTAAATATGAGACAAAAACTCAAACAGGGGCATTTTTGCCCCATATCTTGAATTTTAGGGACATTCTAACTACGTTCTCTAGGCTCCATCACACAGTGAGTTGTTGCCCTGCATCATATTCGTCATCAATCAACTGTATGAAATGTCAGATGACCCACGTAGTTCTGGGGCGGGGCAAGTGTGTTAAATGCGTTAAAAATGAACGCGTTATTTTTCACCGTAATTAATTAATCTAATTGCCACGTTAAATGGACAACCCTAATATATATAAATAAATGATCAAAATTAATAAAAAAATAGTAAAATTTATATTTTCATTTAACTAAAAAAAACAAGCAAACTAAAATTAACATTTTTGTGCTACAAATTTGTGCCTGCCTGCAACATGCTAATGGAAAACTCTAAACTATTGGAATCAACTGTGAGTGGAGTCTCTTCTGTAAGGATGCTATGTAGGGAGCAGGCAGCTGAACTAGTTTTGGCACAGCCCCCAAAGGTGTTCATGTGTGAGGCTGTTTAAGATTCTGCTGCACTTGCGTCTGACAAAACCAACTTCCACCTCCTGTAGATGACGTCACAGGTCTCTCCTACAGCAGCTGAAAGCTAATGTCTGAGGGGATGAGAGAGAGTCCACACACAGCGTCCACACGTCATTTTATACGTCCTTGACTCATTTGGACTAGTTTCATTATATATCCAGCAAATAATACTAGAATTCTGCATAATTATGTGGATTCCGTCTGCGTCCATACATAATTCATCAGTGAGTATGAGTCCCGTACGAGCTGGTCGATGCTTGGCCTGGCTCGGTTCTGCCCAAACGACAGCCCTTTATCCCTGTGAACAATGCTCAGGTTGCCATGGCAACAGCCTGTTTAGTGTCCACTGTGGGATACAGAGGTAATGTACCAGCCTCATGACTGCCTGAGGTGGCGAGGCAGCCGTTAGGCATTACATCAAACTCATGAATACCAACTGAAATGCCCATACTAGACCTAAGATGACATGAAGCGACGATGCCAGTGTGACGCCAGGTGGTCTGATCTGGTTTCTTCTAAATGAAAAGCTCCTGATATGTGACAGTCTGAGAGTCTTCAGAGATTATATGAGGTGAACCACTCACAAATACACACACATGACCCAGAGTTTAATGCATGTTTTTGGTTTGATCGTGGAATTGCGAGTAAGTTTGGTAATTAGATGAGTGCACATATTTGGATCATTTCAGCGCATTCATGATTCATATGCCTTGTTCAATGACTCAAAATCTTCACTCATTTATATTCCGATTCAGGCCGCCCATCCTCCTCCTCTCTCTCTTTTCACGAGTGTATGGATGATTGTTATCTGCTGGCGGGGGCCATATCAAGGACAAAAGGAAATCAAAAACAAAGAGGGGAGAAGATGAGGGGATGGAGAGGAACATTATCTATCTGAAAGTGATAAAAAAAAAAAAGCGTATGTAAAATAGGACAACTTAGAATGTGCTGCTAACACAGAGGACAAAAATCGCCACAATATTTATAAATATATATTCTGGCTTTCAAAAGTTTGGGGTCAGTAAAAATGTCTCTGAAAAAAATTGTAGGAAAAACTGCAGAAATGCCTAGTGTTAGTCTTTTATGCTCACCGAGGCTATATTTATTTGATCAAAAATACAGTAAAAACAGCAATATTTTGAAAGAAATTTCAATTTAAAATAAATGTTAATATTTTTTAGAATATAGTTTATTTCTGTGAAGGCAAAGTTGAATTTTCAGCAGAAAAAAAGTTGAATTTTCCTTTAGAAATCATTTTAATATGCTGATTTGATGCTCAATAAATATTCCTTATAATTACCATTATTACTAGTTGAGCTGCCTAGTATTTTTTTCAGATTTTATTTTCTTCTCCAAATACTTTTTGGGGTCACTGCATATATGTGAACTCATGAACCTTTGAAACCTGAAACTTTTCATGAGCCAATAAGAGTCTGTGTGTTTGTGACGGATGATATCTAACCTCTTTAAAGCAGGGTGAAGGGTTGCGGATCTGTTCTAGCATGGCCCACTTGACAGTGGCCTGCCGGATGTTTCCGTCGTACTCTCTGGAGCTCTGCGTTCCACTCGGCGTGCCCCGAGAACGCTCGTAACCTGGTTCGTTGAAGTATGGCTCGGCCACCAGGATCAGAGACTGGATTGACACCAGCACCTAAAACACAAATACATACACACACACGTTTTTGAAAGCCTAGGAGGAATGACACACGGATCAAGTGGAAGAAGTGAAGAGCACACCGGCTATCACTGACCACAGCACTACTGTCCCTGTGCCTGATTTCCATTTATTGATCGGCTGGACACTAACTGAAGCACTAATCAATGGAGACATTTCTATGAACTGCTGGCAGCAGTACATGAGCACGAGTTTGAGGAGAGAGAGGAGCAGAGCCTGATCAGATCAATATTACAGGGGGAAACAGCTCCCCTGCCTATTATTCAGAGAGGTATGATGAAGAGAGGGAGGGAAAGGGGTTGAGATGTGGGAAGATAATTACTGTAGGGAAAACAGGATGAGAATGTTGTAAATGCTCAACGGTCGATGTGCAGGTGACGGTGATATGACTAAATATTCTCTGAAAGTGATGAAATGAGACTAGGTCTTTTCCGGCAATCCACTGCTTCGGATAAACCGGAAAGAATCCGCATTTGTGCAATTGGTATCAGCAGCGAAATCCTTCCTGCCTAATGAGCGTGAGAAGGATAGAGGATTATACAAGAAAGAGAAACTACAAACGGATTGGATTTGGCTCACCTGTAGAAAGCTAGAAGTATGAGGGTTCCATTTCTCCTCAGGACGCCCATGCCAGGTGTTCAGGATACTTAAACACACCTGGTTGTTACAGAATGGATGAGAGACAGTACGAAGAGATCAGGATATAGAGAAACAAAAAAACATAGAACAATTAAACTAAACAACAATAAGTCATATGAATATATAAATAACATAAAAAAGGGTTATTTTTTATAACTGATTTTATTTTTAATAATATTTTTATTGTATTTTTTTATTGTATGTGTATATATATATATATATAAAATGTTTTTTTAAATAATACAATA